GTTCAAAAACAAAGAATAAGTTGTAAATTACGAGAAAAAACCTAATACCTGAATTCAAAGGAAAATTACAACAAGGCCATTCATCCCGTCTTCCAAAAAAGCTAGAAAAGGTTACAAAACTTTTATTCCACAATCCAAAACATTAAAGAAAAAAATTCCAGAAACCCTTTGATTAATTAACAACATATATAACATTTTTAGTAAAAACTTAAAGAAATTTTTTAAATTTAAATATTCATTTTCTCTCTCAAAATAACTAGTTCAGAATCAACTTATCAAAATGATGTGACAATCATCTCGTTTGTCTTTAAAGCCACCACTATTAAAAGCCGATATATCTCCAAATTGAACTAGATCTATAACTATTACTCAGAGACCTCCAGGTCAAAAAAAGCACTACCCTCCTATTTGACACCTTAAATAAATATCGTATCACTGTTACAACCTTCTTCTATCAATGAATACAAAAAGTAACAAAATTTTTTCAACTAATAACCCGAATTCATCCAAAAGAAAAATATTAAACAAGCCTAAAGACAAAATTCAATCTGATCACTTAGCTTAAAGACACTCTACCTCCAAAAAACCCCTATTTATCCCCCAATTAAAAACTAAAATCAGAAAGCTAATACCTAAAAACCCAGACTTCCCTTCACCAATTACTCTCCATATCCAACCCTCTAGTCAAAAGTCGATAAACATTTTGACCCCACTTGATTTAAAATTTAAAAAATTGGCAAAGCAAATTAATTTTCGATTGCTTCTTTCCAACTCAGTTAAACAAATTAAAATAATCATTTCAACCTTACCTCTAAACTTTTCAACTTTTTTTTAAAACTGATTTTTAAACTTAAACTTGCAATCCTCATTTTCCTTATCTTCTGTAGTCAATTTTTAGTTTTCTATTCCCTCATCCAGGCGTATCTTTCTCTCTGCAAAACCCTTGATCACCTGATCAGGTACGAAACTTTATAACTCTAAATTTGTTTCAAAGTTTAGCGAGTAGAAAACACATTCTTTTCATAAGTGTTTTCGCCTTTCTAGTTCCTCTAGTTCTGACAATTTATAAAAGCATAAGAAAGGCGAAAATTGCTTTGACTAGCAACAGTTTTAATGATCAACTTTGTAGGAGAATATTATAAAGAACACAGAATTAAAGATAGAAAAATACAAAGTTGCTGGTCCAAACTCCAATAAGGGTTCTCATCAGGCAACCCACCGCATAACTCCCAACAACATCTACATCTTATCAACCCCATTCATCTATCGAATTTGATATATAGAAAACTACTATGCTTTTGAAGAAAAACACGCATCAATGTCTGAAACATTGAAACTAGCCATTCGGCAAGCACCCCTCAGTGAACCCTAGAATGAACCAACCTATAAAATTTACACCTCATTACCAAAATATGCTAACCTAACATTACACTCAAAACAAAATCAAAGTTTAATTTGTGCGATAAGCACACAAATTTTTCACCCCGACGCAGAAGAAACTTAACCACATCAAGAGTAGAGTCAGTTTTCCCTCATCACCATCATCAAACCATCTAGAACGTTCAATTATTACAAAACAAAGCACCCCTCCACAGCTTTAAAACACTTCCCAACAAAATAAACCAAAACTCCATCCGACTATTTAGGTTCAACACCTACTTCTGAGCAAATTTGTGAAAATGGCTTTAATGCCCCCACTTCATCATAACGACTCCCACATTGGATGACACACACTTTTTCTCAAGGCGAACCTAACCATGTAAATGACCCTGTAGAACTTTCTTCAGATACCTCTTTATCATTACCAGAAATATTATCACCCTATCAACACCCTCATTCACAGACCAAACACCATCAGTTTTTTCCCCATGAACTTTCCAAGTCACTTAGACGGTAGTCATCGTGAGCTACATGGTACAAATACACTTTTAAGATTAGATTGGAACACCTTTATAGCACCCCTTCCTTTTTTTGGCATACATCTTGATAGCAATAGATACCTGATTTGGCACAGAACAGACTCGATATTCACAAAAAGATTTTCCAGAACATGTTATCCAAAAACTTTAACAATATTTTTTTTAAATCTTAAATCTGAAATGATAGTATAAAATAAATAACTTAGTACATAACTTCTTACCACTGTCACCACCAGACATCATAGCTCAATCTTTACCCACTCAATTTATCACACCAGAAATTATCTATAAACACGATATATATAAAAAAAAGACCATAAGCTATATAACAATTATTAACCCTTTTTCAGGAAAACACCAGCTGTTCCTAATATTTTCAGGAAAACACCAGCTGTTCCTAATGGCTATCAGTTTTGAAAGCATTCGGTCCTGTTGTACTAGTCCTTCTTTTCCAGTACAACTCAAACCCATAGATCATAAAAATCCTTCTCCCCGAACAGGACCAAAAAATCTCTTGATCAGACACGATGATTGTGAAGATGATCATCAAAAATTACTATATAAATATGCCTTTAATCAAGTCCCACAATGCAAATCGAACCCCAAGATATAGAATCAACAGTTGTAGATGCTACACCTTACTCAAAAGCCCGAGCAAAATCTTTAACAGGATATAAATTCACAGGAAAATTCTCTGAAAAGAAAGTACGTTCTTCACAAGTTTTGAGAGGGGGAACAAGAACAGACTCGACCATGAATCTTTTACGAAAGTACTAAAAAAAAGACTATTACATCTAGACCCCGAAGACTGTAAAAATGAACGTTTGAAAAAAGTCCTAAAGAAAAATGAAAATCATAAATTAATAAATTTTCAATTTTTTCCAGACTCTGCACATCAAGCACAATTTGAACACCATCAAATTCAAGTGCAGCTAGACGATAAATTTCCCTATGGGTTTTCCCACCGCGCATATGGAATTTTTTTACGACTTACACGAAAAATTTTAAAACCTCATAGAGTAATCAATAAACCGTCAAACTCTAAGGCACACACAAAAAGCTCAGGCTACCAAAAAGTGTTGTTTTTGATTGGAAAATTCAACTAGAAAGGTACAATTAACACGAGAAATAAAAAAATGATTTAATATTATGCCAAGGCATTCGCTTACCTAGTGAGAACGATCAAAGATTTTAAGCTCCCTCTACGCGAACATAGGCAACCATAGTTTGGTTCCCTAAAGACACATGTACCACTCTCCAACTGGCTAAAATTCACGCAAGAATGATAGAGTTTCACAAAAAAAATACTTTATAGAATCCATGCCCTGTAATAAGCTCATCGCTGACCGGACAAGATCAAATCCAAATCAATGTAAAAACATACAGTCTATAGACGTTTTACTAATTATTATATAAATAATTAACAGGTTTTGAAATCTACCCTGAACCTGAAATAGCATGTAAATTCCCCAAACAACTTTTCCGAACACAATATACAGAAAAAATTGTCCAAAAAATTGTCCAAAAAATTTACATCCCAGTCACTTTTCATAATAATAACTGAAACATTGGAAGAAAAGATCGTCCAGAAAACAAAGAAGTACAAGGTTTCAAGAAAATCCCCTCATGAATAACACATAATTCAGCCCAATATACTACGATATTCACGTCGATATGAAATTAGATTGCACAATAACTAGAATTTTTCAAGAAATGTACCTTTCCGAAATAGAAACACTCAATCACCTATGTGAGTTAGAACGAACACAATTTTTACAATCTCTCGCATTAACAGTACTCAGAATAGTTTACGCAGGATATCAATTATCGGCCAACCGCTCTAACCTCATTGATTATGAGAGAAACATTCTTTGGTGTTAAGCATGCACTAAAAAACTTCGCCGTTTTACGTTTTTGAGGATAAAAGATGCTAACAACGCATACCAATACTCTATAAAAACAAAGTACTATTCGTAGATACCCTATAACGCCGATCATGTTTTTGGGTCTGAAAATAGTCTCAATGTAGTACAGCCTAATCCAAATCATGAGAAATTTTATCTTCTCACTCCATACCCTACTTTAATGCAACCTTTGAAGAAATTATCACCTGAAAGCATACACGCAATCGCTCGTAACTCAAACAAAAACGTACAATCAAAATGTTTTTTTTCAGACTCAGATATACAACATCGAATTAGAACAGAACACTTCCATGATTTTGTCACGGAAATGAATACAATCCAGAAACAATCAATCGATCAAAACCTACAAAAACTTGCTGAAACAGCAGTTTTTTAAGATATTTACCGACAAGACTACAGTGGATATTTTAAAGACATTGAAAATTACATATATATAAAAGGAGAAAAAAAATCGCCCACAAGATATTTCTCCTATCAATAATTTCAATTTTTTAAACATCAAAAACGAGTTCCTAGCAATTCTAGGATGGCCCTACTAAAGATCAGAAATTTTGACCAAATTATACGCGATGATTAATTTCATAGGATTTCTCTTTTCACTACCACAAGGAATCTGTAACACATGCGCAATACACACACAAATCAATAGACAAGCTAGCGTAGCAGGGTTTTTCAACCTCTATAAACAAAAAACTTCTTGATGCTCAAAGTAGTGAAATCAATGAAAAATTATCTACAAAACCAAACACATACGATACTCCACAAGACAATAGAAATACTAAACCTACAGCGCATCACATTTACACCGTTTACAAAACAACAAGCCTCAATCACTAATCCAACAAAGCTATCGCAATTCACTTTCGACGAACGAACGACTAATACATAATATATCTCATATATCATTTCAACAACCCATTATCGACGAAACACATGAACAAATTGTAGAACAGCCA